TGTTCATACTTTACATGTTCATACTTTACATTTTCGTACTTTACATGTTCATACTGTACTTTACATGTTCATACTTTACATTTTCGTACTTTACATGTTCATACTTTACATTTTCGTACATTACATGTTCATACTGTACTTTACATGTTCATGCTTTACATGTTCATGCTTTACATGCTCGTACTTTACATGTTCATACTGTACTTTACATGTTCATGCTTTACATGTTCATACTTTACATTTTCGTACTTTACATGTTCATACTTTACATTTTCGTACTTTACATGTTCATACTGTACTTTACATGTTCATACTTTACATGTTCATACTTTACATGCTCGTACTTTACATGTTCATACTGTACTTTACATGTTCATACTTTACATGTTCATACTTTACATGCTCGTACTTTACATGTTCATACTGTACTTTACATGTTCATACTTTACATGTTCATACTTTACATGCTCGTACTTTACATGTTCATACTGTACTTTACATGTTCATACTTTACATGTTGGTACTTGACATGTTGGTACTTTACATGTTGGTACTTTACATGCTCATACTTTACATGCTCATACTTGTTCATACTTTACATGTTCATACTTTACATTCTCATACTTTACATGCTCATACTTTACATGTTCATACTTTACATGCTCATACTTGTTCATACTTTACATGTTCATACGTTTTATTCTCAAACTTTACATGTTCATACTTTACATGCTCATACTTGTTCATACTTTACATGTTCATACGTTTTATTTTCAAACTTTACATGTTCATACTTTACATGCTCATACTTGTTCATACTTTACATGTTCAAACTTTACATGTTCATACTTTACATGCTCATACTTGTTCATACTTTACATGTTCATACTTTTCCGTTGGCCAGCATTTCTGAAGACTTTTTTTATGGGTCTTAAGTAATATTCTATTTTTCTGAAATACTGAATTTGGGGTTTTCGTTATTTGTCATCAAAATCAAAATAAATAACATTTGAAATGTTTCATTCAGTGTGTAATGACTGAATATAATATACAAGTTTCACTATTTGAATGGAATTACTGAAATAAATCAACTTTTTCATAATATTCTAATTTTATGACCAGCACCTGTACTTCTCCTCCTTCAGCAGCCTGTTGTTTTATTCTGAATCCACAAAGACACAATGAAGTTCCTCTTCTGTTCTTCTTCATCCAGTCAAACATGGAATCTGTGTTTGTGGACATGAAACCATGCTGCTGATTATAAATAGTCACCTCTTGCCTTAAGTTTGGCTTCTTCAGCTTTCCCCCAGATCTGTAGTTTCTATAAGTCTGGACGTCATCGTTGTTCCTCAGGGATTTTCTCACTATCAATAATACAGTTGACTGGGAACTGTGGGTAAAATCTGCAGAAACGTTAAACCATTGTAGTGTCTCCAGCTGAAGTGTTRTATGTTTCTTCCCTCAGATAGAAGAACCCTATGATCCAGAGAGAAGTTTTTTCTACCCTCTGCAGCTGGACCTTAGTTTGGAGCGAGACCTGGGAGATGATGAGAGCTTCGATGTGGACGACTGTAAGACATCCTCACACTTTACAAGTCTTGTTGACCAGGTCTGCTCTGTCAGTGTCTAATACGTGTGTGTGTTCAGTGGACGAGGGTCCGGTCTTCGCCATGTGTATGACTGGTCAGGGAGATCAAGCTACCCTGAACCAGTGGATCTCTGGCCTCCAGCTGAATAATCCCATCCTGGGTCAGGTCCCCACCCTGTTCCGCCTGAACAGTGGTCCTCGGGAGGTGGCGGGGACACACACGACAGAGTCGGGTCAAAGATATCAGCCTCACCCTGAGACCCAACATGAGGAACCTCAGTCTGAGGAACATGAAGATGAAGAGCAGAGGAGGAGTCACAGGATGAAGCAATGAGACTAACCAGGATTAAGGAGGTTATAGGAGGAAGAGTTGGTGTGAAAAGCAGATTAAGTTAAAACAAACATAACAGTACGTGACAACAGTTGTTAGTGTTCTGGTTTAGCTGTCTAATAAATATTTTAAATGAGTTTATTTTTGTTTGTTTGAAGACTTTTCTATCAACACTTCTTGGTTTGAGGTGGTCTGTAGCTTTCACTGGACCCACATTCACAGATTAAATGGCAATCATCACATGTTGAAATGATGGACTTGTTGCTGTTTTACATCAAACCATGAAAGTAACAATATGCACAATGTCCTGCAGTCTCTCAGATGATCTGTCTCTTATGATCAGTCTCTCTGATGGTTATGGCGGCCATCTTGAATTGTGTTAACTCTAAAATCTAAGCTGTTGTTAACGCATAGTTTGGTTCCAGTCCTGGAGAGAAGGGGGTCTCTGCAGTCAGTAAGTGGGAGTTTCTTGGTGTATGAAATAGTGTTGTAGTACTTGAGACAGGTCTTGGCCTTGTCTCAGTCTCGAACACTGAGGACTTGGTATTTTATTTCAAGACCACAACTGTGGAAAAAGACTATTGTCCAATTTATTTGCTAACATCCTTGTTTCATTGGATATAAAACATTCTGATTCAAATCCAAGCATGACTCATTGGTTATTCTATATTTTTGTCACCCATCCTCACCCCTTTAACTCACACGTGACACCAGGAGAGTGAGCAGTGGTTTTCTGGAAGCAGGAGATGTCTGCAAACTCTTCAGTGATACATTTCAGCTACATACTTTATAAAGCTTGTACCTGTAAAACATCTAGAAGAAAACATAAATCAACTTGTAAACTCTGAAGAACGTCACTCTCAGAGATGGTGGGGACTGTCAAACTTTTAACATCATTTGAAAAAACAAAAAGAAAGCTAAGCTGTGTGTAAGTGATGTTAGCAAAGCTAGCTAACTAATGTTAGCTATCTGCCTCCGTACCAAAAGTCTTTACCTGGCCCATACACAAAGAGATTTAGTCAATATTAGTTATACATAAGTTTAACTACCCATGTACAGTACTGTATGTTTTAAGACACTAGTTTTTTTTTTTTTTTTCTGGTCTTGGTCTTATCTCGGTCTCACCCTCTATTCGTCTAGGCCCTAAAAGTCTTGGTCTTGGGTTAGATGATCTTAACTACAACACTAGTGTAAGAGGAGTTTGGTAAACACACGATTGGTTGGATTGAAGCCATAAGGATTTGAYTGGCTGAACACCGGGCAGCTGGGGGATGGATAATTTGGTTGAATTGGCCAGAAAGCACCAACTTTAAAAATAAATATTAATTTTAGTCATAAATTTAGACAGGAAGTGCTAGCTGCTCAAAACTGATTGACACAACAAAGAAACTCGTTTTGCCAAACTCCGCCCACAAGGAATAACTCCGCCCACACAGCTAAGAAACTCCCCTTCATACTGAATAGAATAGAATAGAATGCCTTTTTTGTCATTACACATGCGCATGTCTCTACTGCAATGACCCCAACTGGCTCTGAAAGAAAATGTAAATGTCCTCCTTCAGCTTTCAGCAGCTAGTGTTAGTAAAATAATGTTTGAACAATAAAGATGTCAGTGAAAAACTGCAAATGTAAAAAAAGTTTATTATTGTAAAAAAAAGTTTATTATTGAAAAGGCATTTCCAGCTCGTCTCTAAAGACGTCTTCACCTCTGAGTTACATTCCAAACAGGTCAAAGAAATTGGTCACTTCCAGCTCTTTGCATGTCAGAGCTGACCTCAATGTATGTTTTTTTTTTTCATTATAACTTTGTGCTTTAAACGGAAACATTTCATCATGTTAACCTTTATACAAAAACAAGGACACGTTTCAAAACTCAGCCTGTTCACTACTCATGCAGGAAAACCTTTAATACTTACAAATGAGTGTCTCTGGTTCTCTATGAATATGAAAATAAATAACGAAAGCAAGAGCAAAACAATATTTGGCCTTTAAGTTTTCTGTACAGGCCATAAAACGTCACATCACATCATAAAGTCTGAATGAAATGCAGGGAGATTTTTACACAGCTGGAAAAACTACAGAGAGCTACAGCAGCTCTTTAAAACAAACTGAGCTACGCTTTAAAGGCACAAGTGTGTAGCATTTGTTTTCAGCGACATCTAGTGGTTGAGTGGTTGAATCATCCTCCCTGGTCCTCCCCCCACCCCCCCGCTTCCACACGTAAAGGAGTTGCTATGGTGTCTCTCAGGTGTCAAAAACCTTTGATAATTCCAACCGCGATGTCTACCAGCAGCTTCAGGGCTAGTGATGTTTCAAGTGGTAAGATTATGAGCTTTAATAAGTAAAATGATCCCAGCTACAATGACAGACAACAAATATTACATTTATAGTATTACAACTAAAACCGTTTTTGACGCCGCCACCGCAGTTTGTCCTTCATGAGCCTTCGTAGACAAGATGGCGGTGCAAGATGGCGGCTGCCTGTAGTGGGGATCCGCGACCATGGAGATATAAACAGGTTTTTATAAGGTAAAAATAATAAAACAAGGTCTTTGTCTGCAATGATTAGACATGTTTTTTATTATTGTCATTAGTGATTATTTCAATGTTGGCTAAAAGAACTGACAAAATCCTACACACTGTGCCTTTAATGGAGACAAGTCAATAAGCAGCAAGATTCTGAACCTCTGAATGAGTGGACGTCTGATAAAAGCAGGTAAAACATGCATTTACCATCAGCATAATCATCATCATCTTACTTCAGTTCCTCACAGGGACACCTCAGAGTCACCAAAGAACCGATCTAACAGGTTTCAGATCAGTGGGAGGGTCCCCACACCAAGCTGTCCTCAGGGTGCCCCCTCTGTGCTTATCTGACTTTAAGTCTTTTAACAGGCCTTTAAACAAACCAATTAACTCATTAATACAGAGCCATTCTCTCCTATAGACTCACATTATAAACATGGGAGGACAGCAAATTTAATTTGAGCCTTTTTTACTGTAACTTTCTTTAATTCAGGAAAAACAAAGAAATCAACTCAGTGCATTAAATACGACATTTAAAGTGATGGTTTCCATCCTGGACTTGGTTCATCCTGGTTTGCCTTTTGCTGATCAGTTCATGTAAGTTTCTGCAGAAAAAAGGAAGACAAACAGAACCGTCTGGGATTATTGTACGACTTACACTAATGAACACAAACACATTAATATGTGTGGGACGGCTGAATAATGTAGGCAGAAAACATTCAAAGAGAAAAATTCTGTCTTTAGTCACCTCAATTTAATCAGGAGTGAAAATCTGGTTGATGATATGGAAATAAATATGATGAAAGAAGCCGTTTCAACACTGAATCTGTCCTAATTAAACCATATTAAAGACATGTTTACGTTTCAGTTTGTGAACATTAAACTCAAAGACAACCACATTTTGATGGCGTCACTCCCTGACTGCCAGGCTGTTGAAACCAGCTGAAAACTGAACAGTTGCTGGAACACCTGGAAGTTGTTTCTCAAAGTCTGAAATGTTTTGGTGGTGTCCTCTCTGCATAGAGAGACAGAAATATCTATGAACTGATGTGGAGCTGGCACATCACCAATAAGAGCTGTGGGAGGAAACAGTTATTTGGGAACTGGGATGTCTTTAGCCACATTAATGGGACAYAACCCACTGTTAATGGAAAAACCTGTCCAAAAACTCTCTCTTTTTAAAATAAAAACTGTTAAAGATATTAAAATGCAAGTTCAGTCATGTAAAGTCAAACTATTTAAACTTTAAATGTTTCTGTTGTGAAGTCTGGACTACAGAAATGTGGAGGACAGCTTCCTCTTCAGTCTTTTTATTTGAATTTGTTGATGTGAGACACAGAGCTACTGAACTTTCTAACACAGTTCCTGATGCAGCAGCACACTCTGGTGTACGATATGTGGTTTATTTTAAAGCTAAATAACAAACAGAACTATTCTGAACAGGATACTAAACAATGCTTAATAATACTTCAGAGCCTATAATAAAGTCCTAACTGCTCCTGTGTTTTTACAGAGTAACCTGTAAAATAACAAAACAACCGGTTTGATATGCTTCACTCTCACTCCAACAGAACTCACCAAGGTCTAAAGCAGATTAATTTATTATTATTGTTCTCTAATCAAACTCTTGGTGCAGCCTAGCCTCTGTGAACACTGCAGCCGTGGACAGAGCTACAGTTCAAACATCTCTAAAATCACAACATACAGTTGTTCTAGGCTGTTGTGTCATTTATGGTCTGGTCCTTAAATCCCTTTTTAAATGTACTAAATGACTTTATGCTGGCTGTTCCAGCTTCAACATTTTAACTTTAATCTCAAAAAGACAGAAACAAAGAGAAACTCCAGTTTTCTTTTCTTAGTGACCACATGCTAACATCCAATTCAGTCCAAACATAACATTTGACATTTAAACCCAGTTCAACACATTCAAATGTCCTAACTAGCTGTGGATTCATGAAGTGAGCTGTGAGGTGGGCGTACCTGCCAGGACCCCACCCTGCTGCTGCAGCTGGCTGATGAAGAAGCGCTCCCTCTTGGACACCTGCTCATCCCAGGCCTCCAGGATGCGCTGCCTCTCCCTGGGCTCCAGCGTCAGGGTGTGTGGGTGCACCTCGTCGATGTGGGCCCTGACCCCGTCCATGCTGTGGGAGTACTGCAGCTCCCCACACACCATGCACACCAGCAGCTGGTTGAGGGGGTTGTAGTCCATGAGGAAGCGGCTCCTCCACGCGGCCTCGGACACAGGACCCTCCTCATCGTTGGTACCCAGGAAGTCTGTCAACAGGAGCTCCGCCTCACCTGAAGAGACGGGTAAAGCACTGTTCATTTCTTCCTTGGTGCATTGAATTTGTTGTTCGAGGTTCAGAAAGTCTGCTGGTACCTTCCATAGGTGCTGAATACCCTGACTGTGGAAAAGGTCCCGAGGTGGGGTCCATGGGCATGCTACAAATCAAGACATATTTTGTTAAATGTAGCACAAAACAAGAACTGATAAATGAAGTTCCTACCTCATGAGAAGTTCAGAGTCCTCAGAGGGGTTCATACACAGACCAGAAGCCTWAAAGAATAAGACATGGAGAGAAAACTGTGAGAAACAACACAAGGCCTGAATTTATGTCCCCTGCTTTCTTCTTGAGTCTGAAAGAGTCTGTCTCAAAGTGTGTAAGAGATCCACTGTCTCACATCTTGTAGTGAACACTATAAGAACCAGGATGTCCTGAGTCTTAGCTTGGCTCTCAGGAGACACGAGACATCCTTACTGAACCACCTCAAAGGGTTCCTGTCCTCAAGGACAAGCAGAGGCTCTACTCCAAGTCTCTCCAGATAACTGGACTCACCTGATCTGGAAGGGCCAGCCCAGCTACTCTGACAGCAGGTGAGAGCAGGAAGCCTTCATCCTGCAGCTCAGCTCCCTCTGCACTACAGTGGACCTGACACAAAGACTCACTCAACAGAAACTCGAGGAAGAAGTTCACAGAACTCACCAACAGGCACCAAACCTGGGACATAAACCCTGGAATCTGACACGTGTCTAACTGTAGACCATTAGACTAAGGCTAAGACTCAAACTTACCTGGGCAGCAGTCTCCTGAGTCTCTAGATCCTGGACAGGGAGGACGGGCCTCCAGTTATTGGAGACAGTCATGGGGTTGACTCCCTTGTCCTGAATGGCCTTTCTTGCTCTCTGCTCCTTCTTTTTTATTCTCCAGTACTCTCTCTTCCTCCTCAGGAAGTCCTCCTCAGACTCCCCTGGAATCAGTTTTGGAGGGACCATGGTGCTTGAGGGGGCCAGCTTGGTGGGGGAGCGTACCACAGTTGTGGGGTTTGGAAATTCACCACAAGGCTTTGTGATTGGACTGAGAGCGGGATTCAGCCTTGGACTGGGTAAGTGGATGGGCTGCAGATAAACATGGGACAGTGGGTTGTCTGGGGGCTTCAAGGTAGGGAGGGATGGGGCTGAGGTGACTTCTGTGCTTCTGGGCATCCAGTCCTGGTAACACTGTGGAGAGTCTTCATCAAAGTGGGTGAAATGTTGCGAAGACCCAGCATCCTCCTCCTCCTCCTCCTCTCTGCTGGTGAGGGGCAGTTTGACTTGAACTGTGTCAGCTGACTGTGTAACGTCACAAGAGGCTTTACTATCAACCAGGACTTCAGAGATGCTGGTCTCTGAAGTCCCACACACGTCAGATGAGTCGGACTGAATGGCTTCTTGGTTTGGACTTACTCCTTCAAAAGGACTGAGGCATGGGGACTGAAAGACAAAAACACAAAGTTGAGTGGTTCAGTGAACAGTACTGACTGACTGGTAACACCGGGTCAACCTCTGAGATCATTATTTAATCTTTAGAAACCCATAAACCCCACATGCAGATAGATTTTAATTCATGAACATACATGCTTGGAAATCAATTAGAGTTTGATGGAACACTACGATTGGACCTCTGGTCTGTTGGCCTATCTCCTGCTCCATCCTGCATGGCTCAAGAACAAGACTTCCAGATGGTGGAACAAAGACCCAGTCCTGACTCAGTGCAGTCCACCTTTTTCTGGTTTGAGGACTTACAGACTTAACTAATTTCGTAAAAAGTGTAACGTTTCTTTCATCTCTCAAAAGCCAATATGTTCCTGGGATTATCTGCACAAATTTCAAGAAATTCAGCAGAGATTACACAAGCTGAGGTTTGGTATGGTAAAAGTATATGGGGTAAGAGAACTGTCAGAATTATTGTATGTGTAGGAGTCTAAATTTGTACATGTAAGTCTATAAACGTACATAAATTTGTTACAACTTTGCCACATTACAAGTACGAATCAAATTTACAAGTACGAATCAAATTTACAAGTACGAATCAAATTTACAAGTACAATTCTTTTACCTGTCAAAATAAGACATTATGCATGGAACACCAAAAAGATCGATTGCAAACAGTAACTAAGCCAGACCACTGGGGGACATGACCACTGSCTCATCTGGGACCAGATGAACTCTTTATAAACAACAATTTGCTGAAGGGAAAAGCATTTGGAGGCTTTTCAGTTTGTCATTCATGTCATGTAGTACAACAATAAAGTAGATGGTGGATTTAGGATGAAATATGTTATTTTATTTTATTTTTACTTTAACACTGTCTGATTTCATTTTTTAAAATATTTTATTCAATTTCTTAAAACAGAATCCTGCTTTTATGATAGTTTTGAACATTTATTTTATTTTTACTTTAACACTGTCTGATTTCATTTTTTAAAATATTTTATTCAATTTCTTAAAACAGAATCCTGCTTTTATGATAGTTTTGAACATTTATTTTATTTTTACTTTAACACTGTCTGATTTCATTTTTTAAAATATTTTATTCAATTTCTTAAAACAGAATCCT